ATTACGTTCTCCATTCGAAATTATGGCGTTACCCCCCTGGAATAATATTATTTTCAACCCTGGACAGATACAACATGGCAAAATTTCGATGTATAGAAAGAAAGAGCAATTTATTTGATGATATACAATTTTCTATGTATTTTGTATTGTTTGAACTTGTTAGAAGTTGTATTCTTGATATAAATAGACAAAGAGTTCGAAATCGATTTATTAATTGAATCATTAAAGTGAGTACAAAGATGAATCTAAAAATAGAATTATATCTTTTATTCGACCAATAACAATTTTCTTTAAATGTAAGAATAACAGTTTTACTAATTCTTTTAGATTTTAATATTTGCGTTATTCAATCTTTATACGGTTCTTACACATCCTACTGATCAACATAGATGATACAGTTTCTCAATTTAATAGTATATTCATTAGTAATGTGCAGTGACAGTTTCTGCATGTTCAATACATGTTAATATTTAACTATGTACTACCAAAAAAAAACCAATTCAAGCTGGTATTAATGCCAAAACAACAGAACGTATGTCGTACATTTAGGTATGCATGACACAGTAAAGTAATCGTGATAATGAATTCTCTAAATGTAATGCTGAAAAAAACTTTATGCATGATTAATATGCTTGAAACTAGACATTAAGTGATACTTGATGGAAACGACATCGAATACAACATATACAACATATAAGTTTCCGCAACAACAGTAACATAGAAAGTGTGGCTAATTTTGGAAGCTTATCACGTAAACTAATTTTACGTTACGTTCACACTATGATGCACAACATAATATATCTTTACAAGCAACTGTTGTTTTGGTACACAATTAGGCATCATTATATAGCACATATGTTGTCAATATGAGCTCAAATTACCAACATATTTACAAGCACATTAAAAAAAAAGAAGTCTACAATTTATTTTGATCAAAAAAAAACTAAAAGTATATGTCTTTTGATATATTAATAAAGACTAAAAATACTTTTTTTTATCATATTATTCCTGAGCGATTTTTCATTTTGCAATGAAATTTGCAAATATTATCACATATTGTATTATTTAAAAATCCTTAAAATAATAAACTAAATCTTGTAAAAATATTTTTTACATAGATAAAATATCGGTTTGATAAAAGTCATTGACATTGCGTATGATGCTGAAGTACAATTATCTTGTCATCAATGACATTAAATACTATGTCTACATATATATTTGATTTTTGTCAAATGCTAAAATAATAAGATTGTTAAATATATAAATGAGCCAATTCTATTTTCTTTTGATGGAAAAAACACTCGTCATCATATTCTTAAGAGTTTGCAAATACAAAACTTATTGTGTATCTTTTACTTTCGTAGTTGTCAATGCATGTGTGTATCGTCTTACAAAAAGACTACTAAATCTTAGTAAAATACAATAATAATTCATGGATGTTGCCATTGGGTGCAATTCACATTGGCATCTTAGTGAGTGCAAATACAATATAGATTCAACGAAAAAAAGAAATAGATATATGATGGTTTCGATTGCTTTACACCACTAATTGCAAAAGAGTCATTGATAAGAAAGACTAGGTTGGTGTGGTATCAATTACAAAGAGAAGAGTGAAAAAAAGAAACGGCCTTGATTATTCTGATGTGCTCAAGAATAAAGTAATCGAAAAACAAAAAAAAAGGAAGAAAGTGATAATAAGAAAAATTTGCTTTGACTGACCAAAAATAAATATATTTTGGCACTTTGTTGATGTCTTCATTCGATTCGTTGATAAAAAGAAAAAGCGAGAAACAAGGCAAAAAACAAGAAAAAAGAAGCCTAGATCAATATAATTTGTCCACAAATAATTGTCAAATAATCCTAACTATTTCAGATCGACTTGTGAGTATAAAAAAGTATAATAGTGATATAAGAAAACGAATGTTATCTTTACCATTGCTTTACTCACATCAAACATAACAATCTATATGTTGATATGCCAGCTGCTAGATAAGCTGAGTTTACTATATACTTGTTATATCTACTATACAAGATTTTAAAAAAAACAGATTCTTTTTTCTTCATTTATTATCAGTTTAGATTTGATTATTGAATAAAATAATGGTCGATTTAAAAGCAAGAGAAAAATGGACAGGCAGTGCTGATTTTCTTTTTTCATGCATTGGTTATGCTATTGGCCTTGGTAATGTTTGGCGATTTCCTTATTTATGTTATCAACATGGTGGAGGTTAGTTCAATCTTGTGTTCTTTTTTTGATATAATAATTATAGTCCTCTTTTTTTAAGGAGCATTTCTTATTCCATACTATGTAACATTAATCTGTGGTGGTATACCTTTATTTTTTCTTGAAGTAGCTCTCGGTCAATATACAAGTGTTGGTGGACTTGGTATATGGAAGATATGCCCAATGTTCAAAGGTAAATTATAATTATTGTTTTTTTTTTTATTTATTTATTAAAGAAAAAATGTATCTTTTAATTTTCATAAGGTGTCGGTTATGCGGCAGCAATAATAGCATTTTGGCTTAATTGCTATTATATTGTTGTACTTGCTTGGGCTTTATATTATGTTTATAATTCAATAACTAGTTCAGTATTACCATGGTCAACATGTAATAATTGGTGGAATTTAGAATCATGTCGTACATTAAAACAAATGCGTAATTATTCATCATTGATGACATGTTCACCAACACAATTCAATACAAATGCATCAATGGTAGCATGTTTACAAAATGTCACTGATTATCTTGCACAATTTACAAGTCCGGTTAAAGAATTTTGGGAGTATGCTCTTTAAAAACAAAAAAATATATATATCATTTAACACAAAAATTATTTATATTTAGACGTAATGCACTTCAAATTACACATGATATAAGTGAACCAGGTTCATTACGTACACCATTAGTTATTACATTAGGTATTTCTTGGATAGCATGCTATTTTTGTATTTGGAAAGGTGTTAAATGGACAGGGAAAGTTGTTTATTTTACATCAATGTTTCCTTATTTACTTTTATTTATTTTACTTGTTCGTGGTTTAACACTTGAAGGTGCCATGGATGGTATCAAATATTTATTTATACCTGATTTATCAAAATTAAGAACATCTGCGGTAAAATTTTTTTTTCGAATAATTTAACAAAAAAAAAAAAGACTAAAATATTGTCATTTGATTTTTAAGCTTTGGATTGAAGCATCAACACAAATATTTTTTAGTTATGGACTTGGTCTAGGTGCACTTGTTGCATTAGGAAGTTATAATAAATATCATAAAAATTGTTATAGGTAAAAAGAAATTAATTTCAATTCAAAAAGAATAGTTTAGAAAAATAAAAATTATTCTATACTAGAGATACACTTATTTTGGCTGCTTTTAATGAAGGAACTTGTTTAATAAGTGGTTTTGTCATTTTTTCTGTTATTGGATTTATGGCTAAAACTGAAGGACGAAAAATTAGTGAAGTAGCTGATTCAGGTAATTAAGATAAAATGAATGCAGTTTATTAGAAATATGTTTGTTTTTTAGGACCTGGTCTAGCATTTGTTGCTTATCCAGCTGCAGTTGCTCAATTACCATTTGCACCATTTTGGTCAGCATTATTTTTTATTATGATTATTTTTATTGGTCTTGATAGTCAAGTTTGTGATTTCTATCTACTAAACATGTTTTTTTAGTAAATAACATAAAAAATGACTTTTATAGTTTGTCACAATGGAAGGTTTTGTAACAGCATGTGTTGATGAATGGCCTATTTTACGTCGTCAAAAAGAATTATTCATTGCTTTTGCTTGTCTAATGTCTTATTTAATTGGTTTACCAACAATTACTCAAGTTATTTTTATTTACAAGAAAATCAATTTCTGAATTATTGTTTTTTTATTTAAAGGGTGGAATGTATGTGTTCAAAATTCTTGACTATTATTCCGCTAGTGGTTGGTGTTTACTTGTATTACTTTTCTTCGAATGTATCAGTGTATCATGGTTTTATGGTGCCAATAGATTCTATGAAGATATTAAAGATATGATTGGTTTTCATCCTGGAAGATTTTGGAAATGGTGTTGGATTGTATTTACTCCTCTACTTTGTACTGTAAGAAAAAGAAAAAGAAAATCTTTTTAGTTTTGTAGAAATTTTATTTTAGAGTATTGCAATATTTAGTCTTATTGAATATGAACCGGTGAAATATAAAACTTATCAATTTCCTAAATGGGCTGAATATGTTGGTTGGTGTATTGCACTTTCATCAATTTTAGCTATTCCAATTTATGCTATAGCTTTATTTGCACGACAAACTGGTTCAATTAAAGAAGTAAATGACATTTAGAACTTTTGTTATTGTTTTATTGTAATTAATTTTTCATATTTTTTCTTTTTTAATTTTTTAGCGATGGAAAAAAATTACAACACCAACTATTGATCGAAACGCAGCCAGAGATGATACTGATCAGGAAACAAAACAACGGATGCTTGTCGAACATACAACAGCTATGACAAATCTCTAATTACACTCTTTATCGATTGTTCGTTTTCTCTTTCTTTATTTTTCTTCACGCAATAATCTAGTCATTATTATCATTCATAGATTGTAGAGTTATTTGGGATAAATACATATATATATAAATATATCTATATATATATATGTCTAGATATAAATAAACTATCAATAGGCACGCTTTACTTCTATCAACAAAGTCGTTAAAAGTCGATGATTAAAGCATAAATAAAATAAAAGACACGTAGATTAACTGATGACCTTGGGCTCAATCATCGTTCTTTCTCTCTACATTCGGAACGATCAACGAAAGAAGAAAAAATGAAGAGAACAGTTGATGATGGCCAGTGCTATGTGCTGTTCAATGTTGACTTATGGCTCTGTGACCTCGTGCCGATGTTGAACATCGACGAGGCGAATGTAAGCAGAAAGAGAGAGGGAGAGAGAGAGAAAAAAATACGTACCTTTCATTCTCGATTTTTTTTCTCTTCTTAATATGTCGTCGAGCCATCCTCGTTTACTATTCTTACTGTACAACCAACACATTTCATTCTGATTTTTTGTTTCTTCACATCTAAATGATTTTATAATGAACTAGTGAGTAGTTAAACATGAAATCCATACATATATAAGTAAGATGTTAATCTTTATTTTCATTTTTTTCATCGTTCATACTGATTTGAAATTATAATTTGGTTTTTTTTCTGTGTAACAGCTGACATGTATATAGCATTCGATCATTAATGGAGGTGATGGTAATAGAAAGAGAGAAAAAAAAACACTTGAATGTATATATCTAGTAGCAACCAGACAATAAACAATTAAACTGGTTCCATTGAACAGTTTATAAGAATATGGTAAGATGAATTAAATTTAGATTCATTGTTGAATAATTTTGTTAAATCTTACATTCATTTAATTATAACAAAATAATATATCGAAAGAAAAATAGAATGCAAAAACATATACATCATCACCACTTTTAACCTTTCGGTTTTTTTTTCTCTTTCGTCTCGACAGTTTGGTAGTATATGACGAAATATATTGTACGATTGAATGTTACATGTTCATTGAATTATATGGTTCAACTTAACTATATAAAATACAATAGAGACACATTTATCTTTGATCTCATATTGAAATCTTTTAGATGAGTACAACATTTATAACTCCTGATTTAACTCATTCAACTCGATTAGTTTTATCCAATCTGGAATCATTACGGCATGAACATAATTTATTAGTTTCATCAACAGTTGATGATGATAAATGTCAACGTCTCCATCAATCACTTGAATCTATTGATTTAGGTATTGATGAAGCATTTGTTATGTTACAACTTGATAATCATTTAGAAAATCTTGATAGTGAAATACATAAATTAATGTTACAAGTTCAAAGGTTAACACAAGAAAATAGTTGGCTACGTGATGAACTTTCATTAACTGAAAAACATTTACAAACAAGTACACAAATACGACAAGATTATGAACGTGATATTGATTTATTAAATGAATCATTAATATCATCTCCATCAATATCAGATAATTTAAATTTAACAAATTCAATTGATATTAATACAGATATACCAATAGAAACAAAAGAGCAGATACCAATGAATTCTAATTTTGAAACTAAAAATCATACTGAAATTCCACCACGTTTTCGTACTTTACATAATCTTGTTATTCAATATGCACAAGCTGGTCGATATGAAGTTGCTGTACCATTATGTAGACAAGCACTTGAAGATTTGGAAAAAACTCATGGTCATACACATCCAGATGTTGCAACAATGCTTAATATACTTGCATTAGTTTATCGTGATCAAAATAAATTTAAAGAAGCATTACAATTATTAACTGAAGCTTTAACAATACGAGAAAAAACTCTTGGACATGAACATCCAGCTGTTGCTGCAACATTAAATAATTTAGCTGTACTTTATGGAAAAAAGAATCGGTATAAAGAAGCAGGTAAAGATTCGACAGATATATTCTAGATGAAATATTTCACTATTTTTTGTGTATTAGCATCCTTATTTTCTGTTCTTTCAGAATATATGCTTAGAATTTTTGTGTGCGACTTTTGACAGAACTGAAAAGAATTTTCCGAAGAGGTAATAATCTTATTTTTCTGGAAACAAGCTTGGTTTCTATTAAAGCATTGCAATCGGTGAGTTGATTACTCGTATCTAGGTACGAGTAAATAATTTTTGTTCAAGCCGGATTCAGAGATGATCTTTATTCTATAAATTGGCGTAAGCATACAGATTTTTGATTAATCTGATAAAAATGACAGAGTTATGACGAAGAATCATTTTATGCCAAAAATGTGAAAATCGGAAAAATAGCTTTTTGTCTTGAGATAGTTTTTTTAAAAACATCGTGACTGTGCTTCAATAGTTTTTAAAATTTTATTCAAATATGCCATTGCGCAAAGAATTATTTTCTGTATCCTCCTAGATGTTCAATAACATTTTGTGCTATACCTGGAACAAGTTCTATTTTAGGTTTTCTCCTCAAAAGAGTTTTTTGAATCTTGTCAAGGTTCGCTCATATCTCAATACTCAAAAATCAGAAAAATTCTAAGTATATAGTCTCAAAGAACGCAAAATTCTGATTTCGATGCACTACTTCTTATTAGAATCCACTGGATCTAGACCCGATGGATTCTAGTCGTCCAAGACATGTGCAGAGTGCGCCAGCCACCAAACACAAAAAAATCAGACAAAAGTATCTTGTATTATCAGGATGGCTGTCCAGTTCCTACTAGAAACTTTCATTGAGAATATCAAAGTACAATTTGATCGGGTCCGAAAATGTTGAATCCAATAGGCTCTTCTTCTTACTCTTTGCAAATGTATTTAAATATACAAAGCATAATCTTGTATTAGGTCTAGAAACTTATGATTCATTGTTTAATTTTGATTAAAAGTTATTTTGTTTAATTAATTTAGAACCATTATGTAAACGTGCATTAGAAATTCGAGAAAAATATTTTGGTGTGAATCATCCAGATGTTGGCAAACAATTAAATAACTTAGCATTGTTATGCCTTAATCAAGGTAAATATGATAAAGTTGAAGAATATTATAAACGAGCTATTGAAATTTACACAAAAAACTATGGTAAACATGATTCAAATGTATCGAAAACAAAAAATAATCTTGCATCAGCATATTTACGTGAAGGAAAATATAAATTAGCTGTACAACTATATGAAGAAATTTTATCTGAATCTCAATTAATATCAAATGAACAGTGTCAATCATTAAATTCTAACCGTGATACAACAACAATTATGACAACATTAAAAAATCTCGGTAATATGTTTTTTTTCTTTTTGAAATTCTTTTGTTTAATAAAGATTTGTTTTTGTTTTTAAATTTTAGGAGCACTTTGTCGTCGATTAAATCTTTATGAACAAGCTGATTTATTTGAATCATTTGCAACGAAATCTTCACAAAATCAATCTGAATTTATTAATCGTGCATTAGATATTTTAAAACAAATTCGACAAAATGATGAAATTAATCATGAAACAATACGACGCTCACAAGCACCTATTCCACAAGAATATGGAAAATTACGTCGTAGTGGTTCATTTCAAAAATTACGTCAAAGTATTCGACGTGGTTCAGAAAAACTTGTACAAAAACTTCGTGGTACACCATCAAATCTTCCATCATTTAATTCAATGCAATTTCAACAACAAGATCCAATTATAAAACGTGCATCATCCATGTCTGTTTTAAACAATGTTTCACCATCATATCCTCTTCATCAACAACAAACAAATCGAACATTAAGAAATATATATTCTATTGATCAACAACAAAACAAACAGCAATTTATTCCTCCATCTCGTGGTCGATTGACGAGTGCAGAAAATACTCATTGATTATTTATTCGAATGAAATTTCACACTAGTCATATATTCACGAATGTGCCTGTTTTCTTTTTCAACATTCCATATACTTTGTGGTGTAAACGAACATGATATTAGTAGACTTTGTTTTTTTCTTGAGTGCTCCGTTGAAATGTTAAAATTAAAAAAAATCAAATTGTTATATTATGTATCTTCTGTTTTTTTTTTTTGCTTTGAAAACAATAATTATTTGAGCGCGTATTTATATTTATTTATTTCTTATTTATTTAATGGCATATTTAAAACGATATGATGGTATAAGTCCTCACTGTACGACATTATTTCTTGAAAAATTTTCATTTCGAGATCAAGTATATATTTTTCAACTGATTTGAAATACTTGACTATGGATTATATTTTTGAATAGTATGGTTTTCTAAAAGATGCACGACAAGAAAATATTGAAGATTTTACATCAATTAATGCTATTGCATCATCCGATAATGATAAATGTGAAAGATATACGAAATGAAATATTGATTAAAACGTTGAAATTCATTTTCTTTTTTAAGTGGATGCTGAATTAGATAAAATTAATACTCAACTAGCAGATATGTTACGTGGTCTAGAACTGAGAAAGCGTGCTTATTATGTTAATATGCCCAATGTTGTATATATTGTTGGTATGACTAAAGAAGTTTGAAAATTTTTACATTGTTTATGAAATTTGATTTTAAAGGTGGTTATCTATTTGATCCAATTCGAAAAGAACGTCGAGCACCATCGAATGATTGGAAATGGGATATTGAAGAAAAAAAACTAGAAAAAATTCCTTCTATACCAGGTCAAGGACGTATTAATTTTGGTATTGCAGCTAATAATGGTGTAGAAATATATTAATTTCGTTTTCGATTTAATTAATATGATGTTTTTATAGGAAAAATGGTTGTGATTGGAGGAAATACAATAATAAACATGTATGAAATTTTGAAATAAGTAATTGGAAAAAAATACATATGATTTGCAGACCGACAGAAACTTGCTATGTATATGGACAAAATGATGGTCAATGGGAAATGTTACCGTCTTTACCAAATCCATTGTGTGGTGAGAATACACATTGTATAGACAAATCTGTGATGCACAAAAGGAATTAGTGTTTAACAATCAAATTTTGTCTAGGCGCATTTTCTTAATTTTCCAGATCGATTGTTTCAAAATAACTTTTTTCATGAGTAAAAGCTAGTTATATGAAATTGCTAAAAATTCTACGTGGGCAAGAGTGTCAGAAGCATAATGAAACATTGATACATTATTCAAGTTTTAAGATATGAGTGAGGATGCTTCAGATGTGAGTGTGTCGCGTGTGATTGCGACTATGGTTGAATATAGGGCTCACACCGACACTCATACACTAAGCACTATGTCGTCCTGAATATTTTTGAAAACTATACATTACGTTCCGTAGACAACTCATGAGACTACAAAATCTTTATCCAAAGTTTTTCTTCGCATATCTAGACTTTTCAAAAAACAAGACGACATTCTTTCCGTTAGCCACACGATGGAATATGAAAAAATGCTCTTATAGCTGAATGGGAAGTTCAAAACCAATATTAAATGGTACAAATCCTTTTTCAAAACCTTGAGATGATGGTAAGACAAAAATTTGTGCTTCAGCACTTGATAATATCTCTAGAAAATCAGTTTGTACAAGGAAATTTTTTCGAGTACAATTTTGATGAAAATTTCACCATAAATGCGGTTCATGCCGTAGAGTCTATCTTCAATTTTTTAGATATTTTTCTTGCATAGTTCAATAAATACACGCTAATTACTTGTTAATTAATTAATATTCATCTGAAAGAGCCAACATTTTTACATAAATCTATACTGGAAGGACTCATTTAGAAAATTTTTTTTATAAAGAATCAAAGTTAAATGAAAGATAGGTATTCTCATGTTTTCTGAAATGGTTCGTATATCACTATCATTAGAAAAAGTTTGATAAGATAATCAGCAATTTGTTTTATCTCATTTACTGAAAGAATTGAGTATGTCGTTCACCTTCAAATAATATCTGTTATCATCATCAGATCACTTTCTGTATTTTTGTATTTATGTTTACATTATATTCGTAGGTCCTGCTGTCACACTGGATGATAAAGATTCTTTGTATGTTTTGGGTGGATATGATTTACTTTCTGGTCATGCTCTATTTCGTAATGATTTCTTACAACTTGACGATTTAACATCAAAAAAGTATTCAAAAAAAAACTCTTCTTATTATTTCATACAAAAAGACACATTTAGATGGACAAAATTAAAGAATACATTTAATATTAATAATAAATCTCAAGCAATATCACCACGAGCCCGCGCATTACTTGTTACATGTGGTAATGATATTATACCACCTGATGGTGGACTTTTTGCATGTGGTGGTTACACAAAGTCATCATCTGGTGAATTAATACCTGTAGCAGAAATTTTATCTTATGATAAGTCAACAAAACAATGGACTTATTTAACTGATATACCTAATCTTAAAAAATTAAATATAATAGCCGTCGATAATAATATATTAATCATATCAGATAAAATGAAATCAGATAATCCAGATGAAGAAGATCAATTTATTCCAGTCTCAAAATACGATTTAATTAATCGCAAATGGTTAATGTTGAATCAAACAGAAATTTCAAATATTCCAATTGAAGAAACAAAAACAGATTAATGACATTTTATTTCATATTTTACTTTTCCCAAAAAAACAAAGAAATTTACATTGCAGATAACTCTTGGTCATATATAAGAAAAGAAAATAGGTGAACTGTAAACACTAAGAAAAAAAAAAGAAAACAAACTAATTTTTTTATGTTGCATTATGGAGAAGTCCATCAAGAACACGAAGTCCATTTTGAGAAATTGTGCCCATATTTTGATTATAACCACCAAGATTTTCTCGTGCCATCATCGATGATGTCATGTTAGAATAATTTCCATAGGTTGGACGACGTTGTTGTTGTTGACCAGAATAAGACCCAAATGCTGATGCTGATGAACCAGAATTAAGTTGTTGAACAGTTGGTGCTGAATGAAAACGAGATTTAGGTCGAATATCAACAGCTGAATTAGGTCGAAGACTTGATATCTAACAAAAGAATACGATTATAAAGAAAAAGACAATAAATTAAAATTTACAAATTTTTGATTCACTCTTGCTTGTGCACCAGTACTCTTCTCACTTGGACCAATACGTTCATCACTAAATACAACAGTTGGACGACGGATATAATAATTAGTATTTCCATTATTTGTTTGTTTAGATGGTGGTGTTGGTGTTGGAGCTGAACCCGAACGTAAACCTCGATTAGCTGTAGATGTTTTTTCACGCATTAAATTTCCATAATTTGTTTTCTTAATTAAAAAGAATCTGTTAGTGGAACTCATATGGGATGAAAATGTGAAACACGATGTAGCTACTCTTGCTAATCATAGAGAGCTTTTTCGATTCTATCTATTTTGGGGCACATATTGATGTTCAGAACTTTCGCCAGTTCATCTGTGAATCAGATATGGATTAGAAATATTCCTATTGGCTACATTTAATAAATGTAAACTTTGATATAAATATTCCAACCATATTAGCTTCTACCCTTGCATATATTCTACATTAATATTGCTGCGTGGCAGCTGGTACAAGTTCGTCTTACTTTCATTAACACACTTTCTGAGACTTCGCCTTCAGCGAATGTCCTATTGCAGAAATTCCAGCCGCTCTATATTCCTCACCATCTTTTTACTTAATCCTCCAGAAATGAAATAAGAAAATAGTATATATATATTATAACGAGATGGTTTTGATATAGAACCTGTACGGAGGGGTGACAATTTCTACTTTATATACTTCAATACTGTCTTTAGATGCTATTTCACAGAAGAATAATATGCGATAAAAATTTTTATGTTTATAAATTACTTGATATAAATTTGGACCAGATGATGGATTTCTTTGTTTTGCACTTGTTACTCTCGGCTGCCCTTGAGTTGATTGTAAGCCATTATAATTATTTGATCGTCCAAGAAGTCCAGGATATGTTGTTGATGAAGGTTTTGTATACTGTTGTTGTTGTTGTTGTTGTTCATTTGAATAATCATCATCAGTTTTATCTTGATTATAAACTTGTCGAGTTTTATTATGATCATTTGTATTTGTTTGTGTATAATTTGAATAAGCTCCTCGAGTACCATCATCTTGTTTTGTTATTATTGTCGGTTGTTTGTAAGAATCATATTCTGATTGATCTATATATGCACTGGCACCATAACGTTGTTGCTGTTGCTGTTGTTGTTGTTGTTGTTGATCAGATGAATTCTCACGTGATTTTGATGGTTGAGTTTCTGTAGTATTATTCGAATTTGAAGATGTATTTGTTGGTATTTTAGCTGATACTTTACGTAATTGAATTAACTATATTTAAAAAAAAAATCACAAATGAAGATTTATTTTTATATTGAAATTATATTCACTTCATATAGTTTTTTTCGATATTCATCAACAGTTAATTGTATATCATCACTTAGTTGTGGAACAACATCATAACCTTTAACAATTTCTTCCTTGGGATTTTGAAATCTATTAAAGTATTACCAATAAATTGAAGAAAATAAATATACAAATAGAAACATACGAAACAACAAAATTATGACGAAGCCCTTCTTCTGCTGTAATTCTTTTATCTGGATTAAATTGAAGAAGACGACGAAGTAAATCAAGTGATTCATCAGTAGCATCTGGAATTAAATTATCAAGTGATTTCTTTGGCCTGAAATTAATAAATAATAAATTGGAAAAAACGAAAAAGTTTTTAGGGTAGAATAATTACCCAGATGATGCACGCTCTAACACACTTGGTCCATATTGTGATGAAATACTATCTATATCCGATTGTGTCGGTTTTGGAATATGTTGAAGAATACGTTCTAATTGATTAAATGTTGATGTTCCTTGAAATAATGGTTTTCCAAGT